GGGTTAAGATCCCCTTACCGGTCATCTTTAAAAAAAAAAAAAAAAGAAATCAATACAAATCAATACATCTACTTCCAAGATACAATGGTGGGACAAACATAGGGTACATATTCCCATTCCAAAAGGGAGAAATAGGCCAAAAGAAAGGTGTAACAGGTCCCAAACAAGTCCCAAACCCAGCAGGGCAGGCATTAAATCTCAAGGCTGGTGAATCAGTTACCCTGATTCCATGTTCTTCCTCCTCTGCATGCTGGTGTGGAGTTATGTCCCCAAGTCCTCTGGCAGCTCCACTCCTATGGCTTTCCTGGTCTCAGGTTATGCTTTAGCTCTCACAGGCTGGCACTGCACACTGGTAGCTCCACAGGTCTGGGGTCTCGATGGCGGTCCCACTCTCATGGCTCCACTAGGCATGGTGCTGGTGGGGTTTCTCTGCTGCAACTCTGACCCACATTTCTACTCAGCATTGCTCTAGCCAAGGTTGTCTGCAGTGACTCTGCCCTTGGTGACAGATCTCTTCCTGGGCCCCCAGACTTTTCCAGACATCTCGTGAAATCAGGGTGGAGGCTCCCAAGCTTCCACAGCTCTAGCATTTTGCAAGTCTGCAGACCTAACACCATGTGGATGCCGCCAAGGCTTCCAGCTTGTATTTTCCAAACCTGCATGTCCAGCCACACCTGGGGCCAATTTAGCCAAGCTGGAACAGCCAAAGCAGCTGGGGTGCTGGTGCTGGAAGCAGCTTCTGAAGGTGGCCCTGGGCAGCAAGACCATGGAGAGTGCCTCGGGCCTGTTCCCCAAGATCATTCTGTCTCTCTAGGTCTTTGGGCCAGAAATGGCAAAGTTGGCCCCAGAGGCTTCTGCAATGCCTTCAGGGCCTTTTCTCTTTCTCTTGATATTCTCTTTCCTTTGTACTAATCTTCTTAGCTAATGGTTGCTGGGCTGCACCATTGCATGCTCTCTGCTTCTCTACCACATGGCCAGTCTGCAAATTTTCCAAATCTTTACACTCTATTTCCCTTTTAAATTCTGGCTTTAACTTGGGCCTTTGCTGCCATAACTCAGTGTAGGCTGTCACAAGTAGCCATGCAGCTTCCTTAATGCTTTGCTGCTTAGAAATTTCTTCTACCAGATACTCTGGTTCACAGCTCTTAAGTTCCAACTTTGACAAAGTCCTAGGGCATGGACACAATGCAGCCAACTTGCTTGCCAGTTCAGAACAAGGGTGATCTTTGCCCCAGTTTCCAATAAACTTCTGATTTCTATCTGAGACCTCCTTAGAATGGTCTTTACAGTCCATATTTCTATCAGCATTCTGCTCAACACCATGTAACCAGTTTCTAAGACATTCCAAACTTTCCCCCTTCTTTTTGTCTTCCAAATCCTCCAAACTTCTCCAACATTTGCCTAACACCCAGTTCCAAAGCTGCTTCCACATCTTCAAGTATTTGTTATGAGCAACACCCCACTTCCCTGGTACCAGCTTTCTGTATTAGTCTGTTTTTTTTTTTTTTTTTTTGCTTATAACAAAGTACACTGAACTCGGTATTTTATAAAGAAAAATGACATTTATTTCTTACAGTTTCCAAGGCTGGGAAGTCCAAAGTCCATCTGGTGGTGGCAACAGTGACCCAGGGGTCTCACGTTGCAAGATGGTGGAAGCAGGGAGAGCAAGACAGATTCTCCCCTTCTTTTAAAGCCCTCAGAACCATGCCCCTGACCACCATTTTTAATCCATTCACTACTACATGGTCCTACAACCCAATCACCTCTTCAAGGCTCACATTTCAATTACCATAATAGGATTTCCCATCCTCTTAACAGTCACAGTGGGGGCTAAGTTTCTAATACATAAAATGTGGGGATACAATTCAAGCTTCAATGAGTTTTGGGGGGACACAATTCAATCCACTACAAGAACCCTTGTGCACTGTTGGTGGGAATGTGAAATGCTGAAGCAAATATGGAAAACTGTAGAGCAGTTGTTCAAAAAATTAAAAATAAAATTACTACATGATCCAGCAATTACAATTCTGCATATATACCCCAAAGAATTGAAAGCAGGGACTGAAACAGATATTTGTACTTCTGTATTCATAGGAGCATTGTACACAATAGCTAAAAGATGGAAGCAACCTAACTGTTCATTAAAGAATGAATGGAACTAGATAGGGTATATCCATACAATGGAATATTATTCAATCTTATAAAGGAGAGAAATTCTGACATGTTACAACATGAATGAATCTTGAGAACATTTTTCTTAATAAAGTAAGTCAGTCAAAAAAGGAGAAATACTGTATATTCCACTTATATGTGGTACCTACAGTAGTCAAATTCATAGTGACAGAAAGTAGGATGGTGCTTGCCAGGGGCTCGGGGTGGGTGGCTTATGGGAAGTTGTTGTTTAATGGATAGAGTTTAATTTTGCAAGATGAAAACTGTTCTGGAGATTGGTTTCACAGTGTCAAGGCACTTACTACTGAACTATACACTTAAAAATTAAGATGTTAAATTTTTTTTTTTTTTTTTTTAAAGATGACCGGTAAGGGCATCTCAACCCTTGGCTTGGTGTTGTCAGCACCACGCTCAGCCAGTGAGCAAACCGGCCATCCCTATATGGGATCCAAACCCGTGGCCTTGGTGTTATCAGCACCGCACTCTACCGAGTGAGCCACGGGCCGGCCCTAAGATGTAAATTTTAAAATATGTGCGTATCACCACAGTTAGAGTAAAATGTTTTAAAGCAAGAGAGTGAAAACACAACCCACAGAATAGAAGAAAATTTTGCAAATCATGTATCTCATAGGAAATTTATATTGAGAATATATAAGGAACGATCAGTAGTAAAAGGTCAAGTAACCCAATTTAAAAATGGCAAAAAAAAAAAAAAAAAAAAGAAAGGCAAAGAATAGTAATAGACATTTTTCCAAGGAAGATATACAAATGGCTAAGAGCACAAGAAAGATGCTGGACATCATTAGTCATCAGGGAAATGGAAATTGAAACCACGATGAGTTATCACTTCAAACCCCCTAGAATGGCTAGAATCAAAAAGTGAGATACTGGGCAGGCCTGTGGCTCAGTTGGGAGAGCGTGGTGCTGACAACACCAGGTGGAGGGTTAGGATCCCCAGTCACACACACACACACACACACACACACACACACACAAAAGTGAGATACTAACAAGTGTTGTCACGGATATGGAGAAATCCGAGTGTTCATACACTGCTGGTGGGAATATAAAATGATGCGACCACCTTGAAACAGTCTGGCAGTTCCTCAAAGGTTAAACAGAATTACCATGTGATCCATCCATTCCCCTCCTACATATATGCTCAAGAGAAATAAAATCATATGTACACAGAAAAACCTACACAAAAATGTTTATAGCAACCTTATTATTAAAAGATAAAAGGTGGAAACAAACCGAATGTCCATGAACAAATGAATGGATAAACAAAGTGTGCTATATTCATATGATGAAATATTGTTTGTCCATAGAAAACAAAGTATTAGTAAATATTCTAACATGAATGTTCCTTGCAATAATTATGCTTAGTGAATGAAGTTAACCACAAAGAACACATGTTATATATTCCAAGTCCAGAATGGGAAAGCTGTAGCAACAGAAGGTAAATTAGAGGTTGCCTAGGGCTCGGGCTTGGAGGACGAAGATGGGAAGACAGGGTGGTGATAGCTGAGGGTAGATGGGTTTGTTTTTGAGGGGATGAAAATATTCTAAAATTGATCGGGCTGCCCGGTTTAGCTCAGTTGGTTAGAGCATGGTGCTGATAACACCAAGGTCCAGGGTTCGGTCCCTGTGTGGAACAGCAATTAAACGTAAAAAAACCCTTTTTAAAACTTAGTTATGATTGCACATATCCGCGAATATACTGAAAACCATTGAATTCTAAACTTTAAAGAGATGCATGGTGTAGTATGTTCATATCTCAATAAAGCTGCTTAAATAAATAAATAAGTGCATTAGGAGTTTCGATCCAGTTTTTTAAGTATATTAAGAGTTTCCAGGTACATCCCAAATATACATAACATTTTATTGTTTTTTTCTGCTGTAAGTGAAAACATGAATTAACGGCCTTATGGATATCATAACCATTTACATTTCAAAGTTCTCTAGGGACACGGTCAAAAACTAATCCAAAATAAGTTTCCTTTCGGTGTAAACGTACACCTCACCGTTTAATTGAACACATTTCATAGCTTGCGGTTGGTCTGAGAGGAATCCCGCCGTTCAGCCTAGGGCCGGGGGGTTCAAACTCCCCACCGGAGACAGACAAGTGCTCTGGAGTCCGAGGGATTCTTTTTCTAAAGTCCCAGAGTGGGGGTGAGAAAAGGATGGGTAAAAGCTAAATATCAAATGTCAAAGGTCAGAATGCAGCCAGAGACTTTGTTAGACATGAACAGGTCGCTTTTAAGTGTCTGTATTTGTAAACAAGGGTCACAAGTCCACGAGCGGCCTCGCAGTCTTATGCCAAGAGCGGGAGGACATCTGATCCTCCCCTTTGAATCTGCCATGGCCTGAGCGCCCCTCTTGCTCCGGACAAAGGGCTTTGCTTTCTGTGGAAATTGAGGCTGGAATTCCCTGCACACACTTGCGTTCCCGCATTCAGAAGGCGCTGTGAGCAGACACTAGTGGCCCCGGACAAGTCCTGTTTAAACGCAAACAGTCCTGCCAGGGACCGATTCCTGGCCCAGGGCGAAGGCCGTGTCGGCTCAGCGACGCGACTTCCGGCCCGGCTGTCACTCAAAGGAGGCGGGTCTGCATGCGCTGTCCAATCAGGGGCGCCTCCGGAAAGGGGGGCGGGGACGACGATGCGCAAACGGTCTGGGCGACGCTATGCTCTCGGCTGCGCTCAGCTTCGGGCCTCACCGCTGGCTACAGGCCTCAGATGTCACTGGGGCCTGCGCGGGCCGCGGGAGCCCAAGTGAGGACGCCGAGACCTCCCGGAAGCCGGGAAATGGTGAGCGTCGGGCGGGCGTCCCGAGATGGGAGGGGGGCCGGTTGGAACCGGCCGGAACCGGCCGTGGCCGCGGGACCCGGGCCTCCCCGCGCTCAGCCCCGGAGTCTGCGGCCCCGAGTCCGCCGCCGGCGCAGCGCGGCCCTCGGTCCCCTCCGGCCGCAGGATGGGGCGGGGCCGGCGGCCGGGACCCCGGGCGTCCGGTCCGTTCCTGCGGCGGCGACCTCGACCCGGCGCCCTCTGGGCAGCGTAGCGTGTCTCCATAGTGTGCGTTGACGGCGGGGTCCTCAGGGCACATCCGACTCAGGCCGTGGGGCTCTTGCGTGTAAGGGCTGACTGAAATGTTTTGCTTGGCCTTGGTTAGCCCAAAGATGGTTGTTTTTCTGGCTAAGGTCCCTTTCATGACTAATAGTTTACCAAACTATTTCTTGCCATGAAAATAATAATTAACTGATATTTTCATTTTCTGAGGAAAACAAGTAGATACTTGTAAATTTTCTTGAGCTAGGAAAAGTATCTTACAATTTTCATCTTTTTTTATACTTAAGTATATGAGTGATTTTGCTGGATTCTTCAAACACTGGGTTTGTCCCATTTAAATATCAGTGGTGGTCCAGGCCACAAAATATGAAGCAGAGACCTGAGGCCAATGACTCCAAGCTCAAGCCACCCTTGCAAAAGGAAGTAATTGAAGTCTCGCTGGTTCTTCCTGGGGAGCCTTCCCCTGCCGGTTGTCCCAGCCTACTCACACCCACTAAGGAAGGAGCTCTTTGTACTGAGAGAAGCTAAAGAGCACTGGAAAGCTGGGGACACACCTGCACATTAGGGGTGGGGGGTGGGAGGGTAATGCCCTTTTTGAGGTTGTAATTGTGGTTTCCTTGGCCTATTTTTAGGCATGAGGTTTGAGTTTCACATCCATAACATGGTTGCACCCAGTGTAATTTTTCCAAATTGAGAAAGTCTGTGAAGGTCACAAATTCTGTCTCCTGGGCACAGTGTTAATGAATTTGGGAATTCATTTGGGTCAGAATCTTCCTGTGGATCCAGCTGAGGGTTTCCTTACTTGTGAAAATGAAGAGACCTATTTATTGTCACCGGGGC